TTGAAATATTGTGGAAGCTTACTATATGCAGATCATTGTGCCAGTATTTTACTTAATGCCAACAATGATCTTGTAAATTGGGCACTATTTTCCCCATTTGACATAAGGCCAGGAGAAATTAATTTGCCTAAGGTATAGCTGGGATTTGAACGTTGGTTTCTATCTCCAAATCTCTATCCTAACAGAATCCACGACACCGGCACTATGCCACAGACAAGCACAGAATGGTGGCCGCCAGCCCCTTCCCATGGTGTCTGAATGGGAGCTGAGGGGGTTTCCTGGATGTGGAGTTAGGTGTGTTCCCACATGGGGTAAGAGTCTGGGGGGCTGTTTAAGAGCCCAGTGATTCTCTCCATTTCTTCACCAGAGACAATCTCTCCCACAAAACCCATGCACTGCTTGAGACATGTTAGCCTTGCCCACTGGCCCTGGATACCTCTTTGTAGCGTTTGCTGTTCATCAGGAAGATGACCACGAGGAGCTGTAGATAGGCTTCCACCTCAGGCAGGAGGGGTGCTGATGCAGCTTTTCCTGTTCGGGGACGGAACTGTAAATCAGCTTCGGTGTCCATGGGCTAGGAGAAGACATGAATTACTGTGGAAAAGCTCAGTCAGATCAGCCAACCAAGAATTTACTAAACACTCACGATGAATGCCTACTATGTGCAAGATTTTTCTAGGTATTGGGGATACAAAAATAAAGATGGCACACAGTCACCTTCTGAAAGAAGTCAAGGAGGCTGGCAATAGAAACAAGAAAAGGGTTACAGGAATGTAACAGACATCTTTACAGAATATAATGGGGACAGAAAGGATGATGTAAGGAGCCCTCAAAAAACCTACAATCTAAGTAGAGATTAAACCACCACACCTGGAACCACTGCAAATTTGATCAGATAGGGTTTAATAAAGTAACATTAATTCTAGAGATGAGATCAAGAATAATGAGATATAATTTTTTTTTGTGGGAACAAAGGAAATTTGGGGGAAGTGACATATACATAGTACTTATTATCAGATCTAGTCACCAAAGCTGGAATAATATGCAACAGATCAAAAAGCAAACATGTTGGGTGAATTTAGAGGTATAGGGTTAAAAAACATTCCAGGTGAGGTTGGGGGGAGGGTGCTTTCTTGTTCCCAGACAATACACTCTTCTTCATCATTCCACTTCAAGGGATTGAGTTTTCACATCCATGGAACAGCCTGTGAGCGTATAGGATTTTAGTGAGATGAAGGTGGCTGAAGGGACAACGTGGTTTGAGAAGGGTCAGGACCTGTACATAAGGGGGATTTTACAGCCGGAAAGGAAAAGGAGAGGTCTTTCGTGGCATGGAGACCACTGCCTGCACCAAATTTCATCAGCATTCACTATGTGCCAGGGAAGGTTCTAAGACATTCCTTTACTCAGCCTCATCCCCCGAATCTGTTCACCACATTTAACAATGAAAATGAGGCATAAGGAGGTTAGGTCACTTGCTCAAGTCCCACAAGTACCAAATGGTATAGCTGGGGTTCAAATTTGACTCCACCTCCAAAACCTGTATTCTTTTTTTAACATTTTATTTTGGTTTTTTATTTATTTTTTGAGAGAGAGCACACTCACACAAGATGGGAAGGGGCAGAGAGAGGGAGAGAGACAATCCTAAGCAGACTCCACCTCACAAACTGTGAGATCATGACCTGAGTTGAGATCAAGAGTCAGACGCTTAACTGAGCCACGCAGGTGCTCCCAGAACCTGTGCTCTTAACCACACTTTTATACGTCCTCTTCAGTGAGGATTCAGAGGTGGTGGTACCTTCTCCTAGGACAATGGAGACACCACCCAACTGGAGGAGAGTGCTCGTGCTGAGGAGCAGCGTTAAGTGAGTTTGGTTCAAAGGGTCCTGATTCCCAGTTTTTTTCCCTGACTCAGAAGAATGACACTATAGGGCAGAAAGATGGTTCCCTTGTTAGGGGACAAATGAGTCTTAAAATGGGCTGCTTTGGTTCACTACTCAGCTACAGCAGGTAATCAGGTCTTCAGGATGGGAAACATTACACCAAGGGGTGGGGTGGGGGGATGTGGTCTGAGACCAAGCCTGCATCCTTTAAGCACCTGACTCACTCACCTCTTCCAGGAAGGGTAGCAAGAAGTCTCGAGTGGCATTATTTGAGGTGAAGAAGCCATGTACAGCCTTATACAGAACGTAGTGGTTGAGGCGACGTGATGTGGAAGGGAGCATCCGCAGGGCCCTCAGCACAAATCGAGGCTCCTTGCCCGAAACTGCCTTCTCCAGCTGTTTCACATGCTCTTTAATGTCTGTGGAGGACCACAGAAGAAAACAATGTTACTTCCAATTCTTCCTATTCCCTCCCACCCTCCAGGCAAGTAGTTCTAGGGAACCTCTTATAAAAGGGCAAGATGTAGCCAACCACTTCTTTTGCCTAGTAGGGTTAAGCAATACTTACAGATGCCAAATAATGATTTTAAGACATAACCAAGAGACAAAAATTAAAGCTGGGGTAGGGGAAAGGGTAGAGGGTGACAGAAAGAAGAAGGTAAAGAGAACAACAAAAAACAAGACAAACACATGGAGATTTAACAGATCTCTATACAGGAAAAGACTTTCTAAATGTAAACAATGGTAGAGGGGCACCTGGCTCAGAAGGCTCTTGATTTTGCCTGTCATTATCCCATGGTTTGTATAGGACTTGGCACTAACAACACGGAGCCTGTTTGGGATTTTCTCTCTCCCTCTCTCCGCCCCTCCCCACCCTCTCTTTTTCTCAAAATAACTTAAAAAAAAAAAAAAACGCAATGGGAGAAGTCATACACATACACACACACGTGCGCGCACACGCATGATGAACTCCACTCTAAAAAATCCTTCCGAATAACTGAACAAAAAAAAATTTGCAACAAATGTGACCAGAGAGTCATGTTCTTATTTTACAAAGAACTTGCATAAATAATTAGGACAAGTAAAAATGAACACAAATGGGGCGGCTGGGTGGCTCAGTCAGTTAAATGTCTGACTTCAGCTTGGGTCATGATCTCACGCTTTGTGGGTTGGAGCCCAGTATCGGGCTCTGTGCAGACAGCTCAGAGCCTGGAGCCTGCTCTGGATTCTGTGTCTCCCTCTCTCTGCCGCTCCCCCACTCAGAGTGTGTGTGTGTGTGTGTGTGTGTGTGTGTGTGTGTGTGTCAAAAAAAAAACATTAAAAAAAACCACAAATAGACAATACAAAAAGAAATATAGCTAACTGACATGAAAATACATTTTACTAGCTTTTGAATAATTGCAAATGGAAATGTTTTCAACTACCAAATTGGTAATATTTAAGAAATCATAACAGAGTTACCAGTGAACAGGATATTTCTGATGGTATAACATAAATCAGTACAGTTTCTCTGGACAATACCTGCCCAAAACCTTAAAAACGCCTACCCTTTCAATTCAGGCATATTTAGAATCTATACTGAAGAAATAATTGTAAAGGTAGACTAAAAACCTGGTCACAAAGATGACTGTTGAAAAATTATTTATAACAGTAAAAAACTGGAAACTAAAGTGTCTAGGAATAAGGGAATACATTTCATTGGTAGTTTCTTAGTTACCTTTGTACACTTAGCATAGGGTGCCTGGGTCCCATCAATGACACAGTAATGGTAACTGCTAACATTACAGAGAGTTTACTATGTGTCCATCATTAGAGAGAAAACCCAATGAACAATCTGGTTCCACTTGACCCAGAGCTGGGAAAATAGCACAAGGGTCACAGTGGGAAGCTCTGTCTACCCACTCCAAATGTGGACAGGATCTCTAAGAAAAATGTGAATTTGGAGGAGCAAGAGGGCTGTAAGAAACTGGAAACAAGCACTTAGGAGAAAAGAAATGGAGGAATTGGTTCATATTTTAGGTCGAAGATATTAGGAACTCAAAGATGACACCTAAAAACTTGCAAGTCTGTAAAATGTTTAAACTCTTTAGAAACAGGAGTAAGGGAGCAGAAGTACATTGGGATTGTTGGGGAACCTTCGTTACAGAAACAAGAAAGCAAGATACTGAGTAGAAAGTCTTAGGTGAATTTACTAGAGATAGCTGGCAAAAGAAAACTTTTGTAGTCTTAAAATTCAAGGGCCAGTATTCTGCGTCACCCTGACACCCTCTATACACAAATACAAACACTGGTTTCTGGTGGGATCAATCATATGCTGGGGGCGTTAGAATCAGTTCGGTGGATGTAAACAGAGTAGGTCAGAGAAGACCTAGAAGAGGGAGTCTACAGGCCCAGTGAGACCTACTTCTAGATGCAACTCAGGCAGAGGAAGGAGGTGTGTGTGAAGGGAGGAGTCCGGAACCTGGAGAGAAGGTTCAGTTATTGGGACTGGGGTCGGGAGTGTCAGGGGACTGGAGGTGGGCACTGGGGATATTCCTAAAGAACCGGGGATGGTGAAAGCTGCGCTCCGGATCCCGAGGAGCGCTGTCATCCGTGATCACAGCACGTCCCCGGCCCGGGCTCTCGTACCCTCCAAGGTGACGGTGTCCAGCTCTCGCTGGGAGTGCTCAGCCGCCGCCGTTTTGCTGTCAGCTTCTCCCGCTGACGCGCCACCCGCCGCCGCCTCCTCTTTCATCTCCACATCCTGGGGAGTCGGGGGCGGCGGTGGTTCTTGCTCCCCTCCGCCCGGCGGCGGCTTTGCCTTGTCCGCGCCGCGGCGGCGCCCCGAGCCCTCCTGTTTCATGGTGCCCGGGGTCGCGGCCTAGTCCGGGGACAGAGACCGGGGGTTCGCGTGAATCCTCGCACCAGAAATCAGGAACCGAGCCGGGCCTGCACACGAGCGCGGGCTCGCGACGGGCCGCACGATGACTGAGCAGCTGCAAACCCTTTCCCGGCGCTGGGCCTTCTGGGAAACGCCAGGCCCGGCGGGCCGAAAGCCGAGTCCACAAAAGGGAAAGAAATCAACAGCCGAGGTGCAGGATGGAGGCGGATCTTCAAGGAAGGAACGGGGAGGAGCCTGTATGGGTTTGCCCCGCTTTCTTTGGAGTGCTTCAGTGTGTTGATTTTCTTGTGTTCCTCTCGGGTGCATTTCCACGCACGTCCACGAGATGTCCCCTCAGCCTCCAATCTGGGATACCGCGGACTCTTAAGAGCGCCCGAACCGACGTGGAGTAGGTAGGGCCTTATCGTAGAGCAGGGCGTGATGGCGTCATGAGTTGCCGGGCGGTTTCTTGCCCCCACTCGCTCAGTCTGCCCCCAGTTTAGGATAGCGATCGAGATTCTCGAGGCTCGTAATCAACCGCCGTCCAGTGCATCCAGCGCGTGGGCAGAAGCTACGAAAGAGATATGTGAGCCCCGAACTGGAGAGTAGGAGGAACTCAATGGGATTCAGACTTCTTGTCAGATTTTAGCTAGTGCCGAAAGTAAGGCATAGAATCTTTGTAGCCTGGGAAGGCGGATGGGGGTGGGGTGGGGAGGAGAGTACCCTTGTGTACAATCACTCCAGTATAAAATATACGGGACCACTCTATGTGTGGCACAGGGCCAGCATGTTCGGGGCGCGAGGTTATAAAAACAGCCCTAGTATGTAGTCTGCTAGAAGCTCCGCTCTGCCGTGTATTGTGAGGCGGGAGGAAAGCCGGTGGAAGCCCCTATTGGGCGAGGCTTCAGGGAGTCTGCGGGGTGCCTGTTTGCCTCCAGACACTGTAGTGAAACGGGGAGCAGAATAATAGTGTACCTAAAGAGAATCTAAGAATCCCCAGGGGGATGAAGTTGAACCAGAAACCCTGTCCACTTATTTTTCAAAGGAATCCTCCAGTGATTCTGCAGGAGGAGGATACAGGTTCCAACTTCTTAAGACAAAAAACAAACCAAAAACAAACAAACAAACAAACAAACAAACAAAACCCTCCCTCCCTAACTTGGAACTTGTATCTCTTCTCTTGATGGAAGTCCTGAGGTGTTTGTTTGTTTTTTACAGAGTGACAGAAGTATATTAATGGTTAATGTTTAACTTTGCACATAAATCTAGTTTGAAAAAGATATATTAGTAAATAAGTACCTATTTTTTCCCAAACTTTAAAAACTTACACGAAACCTGGGATAAATGTACTGAAATTAGATTTCCTAGGCAGCACTAGAAAACTCTGTGGTGGAAGAGTATTTGCAAAGAGGAAAGCAGCTACAAAATGAGAATTTCAGAACTAGAGGATAATCGACTGAGCTGTCTTTCAGATACAATTTGTGTGACGCTCTTTTCCATGTTTTGGTCCCTTCCAAATTGTGTTATTTTCTAGAAAATCAGCATAAAAAACATTACAGATAATGTCTTATATAAAGATGTCTTAGGGGCGCCTGGGTGGCGCAGTCGGTTAAGCGTCCGACTTCAGCCAGGTCACGATCTCGCGGTCCGTGAGTTCGAGCCCGGCGTCGGGCTCTGGGCTGATGGCTCAGAGCCTGGAGCCTGTTTCCGATTCTGTGTCTCCCTCTCTCTCTGCCCCTCCCCCGTTCATGCTCTGTCTCTCTCTGTCCCAAAAATAAATAATAAATAAATAAATAAATAAAGATGTCTTATATGCTGATTTTCTAGCAAATAATACAATTAAAAATTACTCCCCAGAGCAAAAATCTGCAATAAAATGTGTAATAGCTTGTGTATAGTAGCTAGTTTAATAAAACATTATCCAAATAATCAGTTACTACTGTTGAAAATTTATAGTAAGAAATATTAAAAACAACAAAAGACTGTCTCTGTTCCCAAATTTAGGCCTATTTAAATGATTTTCAATATAGCCTAACCCAATGTAGGGGTTACATTTAATAAAATCTTGCTGACCAGACTTCTAAGACTGTGATTATGTAGGTGGTCCACTAGGATCAGTTGGTTCCCTTGCTTAGCTGAATTATATTAGATTCCTACCATGTGTTTCTCAAATTGAGGAGAATCATTAGGAAAAGATCCATCATCCACATGCTCACATAAAGCCTCTCTCTCCACCTCGTACCCATGTCCCACTCCCTGTAATAAAAACTGTAAGTTAGTTGTGGGAAGTCCTGAGTTTTAAACCAGGTCAGACCCTACAAAACAATCTAGCTCTGTTGTAAGGTCATAGAGAGCAGAGGAATATGTTTTGACCATATTCTTTATATTCAAATGTAGAAAGGATATTGTCTCCCCCTTGTCATACTATTGCTGCAAATAGCTCCTTGAACTAAATGGAAAAACATGTTGTCTGATTTTAGGGAGCATGCCTTGACCAATTCCTCCCTAACTGTCTCTGTGCTGCCTTGGGCTGTGGGATGGATAACAGAACTTTTGAATCATCACTGGAATAAACTCATTAGAGCCTCTTCTTCATAACACCGTATCTGTCACTCAGGTGGGTGAGAAGGGTAAAGGAGAAAACAGACAAGCTTTGTTGTTCATCCTTATGAAGTTACCTTTCTGGATAGTTAGGGTGTTAGATCATCTCTTTATTAAGTATACATCACAAGAGAAAAACAACCAAGTCAGCAGGTAATTACTCAGGATGTCTTTGAGCAATGTAGTGAGGCACTGAAAGATGCCCCAGAATGGGGGAGGATGGCTTAACGCAAAGCTTTCGGCAGTTGATCATGAATTCTTGTTGAGTGAGGGCACCAGTCGGGGGAGGGGGGTGGCTAAGGAGGGGAGAGTCTGACTCCTGGGGCCAAAAACCTTGGAGAGATTATTCCACCTATAAAACTACTTTAAAAGAAATTGGTGAAAGATGATAAAACCCAGCTTCAGGCAGAGGAGGATGGTATGAACCCAGTAGTTACATAAGGTTGCAGTATCTATTTTGCAGGTCCATATTGTAAGCCCACATTACTTCCTCCCACAACCACCCTGAATTGAGGGCAGAAGAGAGAAAGGTGAAATAAGATAATATCACAGTTTCTTTTTAAAAGTTATGGGTCAGTCTTATTCTTGGGTGCTTTTTTTTTTTTTTTTTTTTTGAAGACTCATCTGTATTTTCTATTTGGTACACTTGAAAGTTGTCCTACCCTTGTTTTGGGTTTGTATCATGAACAAGCCCGTCCCAGTCTCTCAACCCGAGTCCAGAGGACCCTAAAGCCTCCTCTTTGAAGACAACCTGCTTTGATGATCTTCTCACTTTAGAAGCTAGATTCCACATTCTATACCCTCATAAGTTGTTTTCTGGGCATTTCCCAGAATTATACTGCAGGCAGTATAATAGTATTCATGTATATATGATCTATATGTAGTGTGATAAGGTCTACTTTTTTTCTTTGGCAGAAGTTAAAAAAAACACCAGAAGACATTTCACCCAAAGTAAAATAATATTTTCCATTAATGTCAGTAAAACTTGAGTTTTGGAAGCATAAGCAGGAGGGATTGGGATAAGAAATGAATTCGTTTTGGTTTTGCTGAAATGGTTCATGGTTCATAGTTTTAAAAGTTTGAAAGTTTCTACTTTTAGAGGATTTAAGCACCAGCAGATGGGTTGCGGAACTGCAGGGGGAAGGGGAGAGATAGAGCTGGACAAGTGGAAATTGCTTATCTTAGGTGATCAGCTAGGTTTTCTGTCATCTTCAGCCTGGTGGCTCTGAAATACCCTTGGGTGATAAGGACACAGCACAATGAGGTAGGGAGGCATTCAGGAAGCAGGGAGCAAGTGAAGAGGCAAGTTAGGAGGCCTTGGTCAGGAGCTGCAGGAGGGAGAGGCCAGCATAAAGGGCACAGAGGCGGGGCAGGGTGTCTGGGTCCCACATGTACTGGGGGCCCGATCTCTGCACTTCAAGTCCACTCAGCCCCACTAGGGCCTCTGTGAGGGTCAGTTCCTCCTCCCCAAGGGAGGAGAGCAGGTCAGGCTGCAGGGGGAAAACACCCTCTTTATCCTGTAGGAAATTCTGTTCCATTGTGCTCTCCACCTGCAAGGAACCAAAATAGCATGAAAAGAAAGAACTCGAAACGTCTCTTCCTTTCTCCTAACACATAACCACAAAGAGGGCTACCTTTTTCTTACTATAACTCCTTTCATTACATTACAACTCCATGTGGGCCTTTTTTGTTTTTTTAATGTTTATGTATTTTTGAAAGAGAGACAGAGTGTTAGCTGGGGAGGTGCAGAGAGAGAGGGAGACACAGAATCTGAAATGGGCTCCAGGCTCTGAGCTGTCAGCACAGAGCTCAATGAGGGGCTCTAACTCATGAACCATGAGATCATGACCTGAGCTGAAGTTGGACGCTTAACCAACTAAGCCACTCAGGCGCCCCTCCATGTGGGCCTTTTAAAAGCTCTGTACAGTGGCCAGTGCTTTTCTTTTTAGCCCTATTGTACAGATTCAGAGACATTAAGAAATTTGCCCACATCACTTGGCTGTGAATAAGCAAAACCAGAGTTTTCTGACGTCTCAAGCTGAAAAACTTAGATAATGGCACAAAATTTACTCTTCTACTTCTGGTTATAAAATAGCAAAAAAAAAAAAAAAAAAAAAAAAAAAAAAAAGGGAGAACACGGAGAAAAATGAGCGTGGGCATGAGCCCCTGTGATACGACAGAGGCCCTTCAGGACAGTCTGTCATGAGGCTCAGTCTGTGTCTTTCCACTGGTTCTAGCTGACTCCCTCCCAAACTCTCTCTAGCACCTGCTGTTTTTTCTCACCAGCTTTAGCTGCACGGGTAGGATCTTTTTCTCCATCGATTTTACCAGCAGCTTCTGTTGGGCTTCACTTAGCTCTGGAGGGAAAAGAAAAGCAGAGAAACAAGTGTGTGGTGTGGGTACGAAGGGGATTACAGACTCGAAATGGATGCCCTTCCAGAACGTCAGTGTTAGTTAATCCACACATTTATCCACGGTTGAATGCTTGCTGCTCTATGCTAGGCACCTTTGCTGGGTGTGTCAGCAAAGTCATACCCCTGCATTCAGGGAACTTGCAGTGTAGTGGAGAAGGCAAAGCCACGTGCAGTGACAATACAGGGTATTAAGGGAGCGATGGAACAATAGCCGAGGGGTCTATTTTGGTCTTGGCATTTGAGGGCAGACTTTTTAAGAGGACAAACATCTCAGCTTACTCCTGAAGGACTAGAGCATTTTTCTAAGGGGCAATATTTCATGCAGAGGGAAGAAGAGAATTCAGGGCAAGATCAGAAGATGTTACTCTCTGAAATTAGAGCTAACAAATTTCAGAGTGCCTGGATGGCTCAGTCGGTCAAGGGTCTGACTTCAGCTTAGGTCATGATCTCACGGTTCGTGGGTTGGAGCCCCGCGTCAGTGCAGAGCCAGCTCGGTATTCTCTCTCTCCCTCTCTCTCTCTGCCCCTCCCCCACTCACGCTTTCTCTCTCTCAAAATAAATAATAAAATCAAATAAAGCTAACAAATTTTGATACAAAAGTGATAAGCTTAGACATATGTAGAAATTTTAATTACGTGGCTGGTAAAGCTAGGGTTACTTCCCAACCTCTATTAGCAAGACTAGGCCACCTTCCCAGACTATCCAAGGTGCCCAAGTGATGCCTTAGGAAGGCAAACAATTTTTTAAAATTTTTGTTATTTTATTTTATTAAAACAATCTCTGTGCCCAACGTGGGACTTGAGCTCATGACCCCGAGATCAAGAGTCACATGCTGTACCAACTGAGTCATCCAGGCACACCTATAACCAAATTCCTTAAATGTAGGTATATACTACTTAACTGTGGTATAATTTGCCTGGCATTCATTCATTCATTCATTTGTATATCTGGGGATTCATTCAGTGATTCATTCCTATCGCCGAAAATGTATATAAATGAAGACCTTATTCTCCATTTACCTGTTAGGGCTCCAAGGAAATAGAGGATGGCACCCATAGCCTCCTTTGATAGCAAGACATCTTTTGGGAGTGCCTCCAGGGTCACTTCATGTCCTTTGTCTAGAGCCCCTTCAAGCTGTGGGGAAAGGTGGGCAACTAAGTAAGATAACACAATGAAGGGGCCAAGCATAGTGCCTGGCACATAACAGTCCCTGGAGATGTGCTAACTCATGTCCTTGCTTCTTTATCAAGGTACAAAGTCATAGAAAGTACTGGACACCTTGGATTTCTTGGTCCCTGAGCCTTGGACTCTGGAAAGGAAATGTTCCAGTCCTCTTTCCAAGAAAAGGGCCTGCTGGCCTGCTGCCCACCCTCTGTCGTGCCTTGAGGGAATCTGCATCGTTTGCCCTTTTCCAGAGGAATGAGGGAGCAGTGGCCGCCTGGCAGTCTGGGGGGCACCTGGACATCCACCCACTGGAGGGAGACATCCACCTACTGTTGACTCCCCCTGCCAGTTGTGACACCCACACGTGTCTACCAGCAACCTTTCTCTGCGACCTCACCGTGAGTTCCAGGTCTTGTAGCTCCTTTTTCTTCCCGAGAAGTTTGCTGAGGGAGGTGAGCAGGGAGCTTTGCCCTACTTGGCTCAGCCTTTCCACTTCTTGGATCTCTCTTTGAACTTCTTCTTTTAGTGTCTTGAAGTCCTCAAGTTCCTCCCCTATTGGGATAGTAAACATGGTAAACAAACCATCTGCCATCTGGCAGCCTGCCCATTCAGTCAGCATTCTGCCTGCGGGGCTCCTTCACTCAGCCTCCCTCAAGTCCCTGTGCTCTGTCTGCTCCCAGCCTGAGCCTCGCCTCTCTTTCTTCTTGACCAAGGAACAGGATTGTGAAGTTTCTGCTAGCCTTACTTGTGGAAGGAGTTGTGGTGATGGTCTGGGCAAGGAGGTGGACCAGGACCCACATTAATATCTAAGGGGGGAGTTGATTGTCCCTGGGCTCTCAAGCCCCATTCTGCAGCAGTAGACAATTGATTCCCCTTTCTTTAAAACTCCAGCTAAAAGTTGAGAAGGAAAGTCTATTTCTCCTTCTTATGAATTAGTTGACAAAGAATGACTTTGGTGACTGAGTGAAGGCTAGCATGGATGGGTCTATATCCATGGACGTGGGTAGATCAAGGTTAGCTTGAATCTTGGCCTGACTCTCCAGGGGCCTCGCATCCTAAGAATATGTCCTGGAGAGTGGCTTCCTGGAAGTAGCTACAATCACCAGGACCTGGGACTCAGCACTTCCCTTTCCCTCCCTTCACCCCACTGTCTTCATGCCAAAGTCATGGGAGAAACTTACAAAATTCCTTACCAGCATCAGATGCCAGGATAACTGAGGGGGAAAACAAAAAACAAGAATGTACTCCTCCGAAACAGTAGCCATACCCAGGGGATGACACATTAATGGGGGTTAGGAAATGTATCCTGTCTCCTGGGATATCCCAGCCATCTTAAGGCTCCACCTGCTCCATTTGTGGGAGGCAGGAATGGGGCAGGAGAGAAGCTAATGCAACGTGAAAAAGGGCTCCCGGATTGACTGAGTTGGCATCATGGTGACTCAGTGGCTCCCGTCCCGGGTGCTGGGTGTGGATGGCAGAGTTGCAGATGGGACAGGTTATAGCTAAGAAGGCCCTTTGAGGCATCAGACCACCTGGGTATCCTGCCCAAAGACTTCCCCCTTCCACCACTTTTTCCTAAGCTGTTGGAATTTCTGCCACATTTCAGGGACAGTTGTTTGCCGAGACCTGCTCTGCCATGTTCCCCATTGTCAGAAAAAGACTGGAGTTTTAAAAATCTGTGTCAAGAAAGTTGCAGCGAAATGAGAGGAAACACTTACGGGTGAGCTTCTCCTCTGGCTTTTCTGAAGACAGAAACAATGCACATATGTCAGTATAAAACCTATTTGTGCTTTTTTATCTAGAGCGGATGTCAAGGTGGCTTTATCAGTGATCATTATAAAAACACACAGAGACTATGTTAGCTCGCCCCCCCCCCCCCCGGTGGGGAACACACAATGCCTCCAAGTTTCATTTCTGCTTCCAGTGGTGCCTTCTGGTCTGTCTTTCTGGTTCTCTGTCTCTCTAGGGCAGTATTCATGTGCTTCTATCTGTCTTGCCTAAAGTTGGGGATAGATATTTTTGGGGACTTGGGAAACAAAACCAGGGGCTCCTTGGGGGACTATGGTATATGCTGTTAGAGGGTACAGGATTTTAGCAGATGATATCAGGGTTGGGCAGAAGATATGGGAAACCAGGTAGCAATTTCACTTACCTCCAGGAGGGAAGGTTTGCATGTTATCATTGTAGATATGTGGAATATCTGTAAAGGTGCAAGAGAGGGGAGAACAGGAGGACCTTTAACAGCTACCCACCTTCCCTTCTCCATTCTCAAGTCCATGGGCTCTGCTAAGGGCTAGGTAGGTCCCTGTCCCTAAATGCCTCACCTAACCCCCGATCTACCTCTATTGCTAGAAGAACCCTTTTCTTTCTCTGTAAATCCTTTCCCATGACAACACTATTTTCTGCCTTGCATCCTAGTACTGGTGTCTATGGATGTTTCCTCCACTGGCCACAGACTTCTTGAGAGCAGAGGCTGTGCTTGTTCATCTCTGTGTCCCCTTTCCCCAGCTAACGCAGTGCCTAGCACAGAGGAGATGCTCAGAACCCAGGGATTCCTTCACTTCCTCTCCAGAGCAACCTCTGCAGTTCTTTCCCCAGCAGGTGGGCCACATTACAGTACACTCCTGCACTATTCCCTGACTTGCCGCAAGACGGGACCGGGATGCCTTAGTACTAATGCGGGTAATTCTTGTCTTGAGGGGAGAATATGCCAGTGTCTGCTCACCCCACTCATCTTTGCCTTTGACCATCAGCTGTCTCACTCGAAAGGCCAGGATGCAGCCCTTGGGGATGGTTACGGCCTCCTTGTGGTTTATGGATCCCTAGGATCAGACAATGAGGATTTATGAACCTGCAGAGATTCTGAGACATGGGGTGGGGGAGGGGGAAATGAGGAGATAAGAAGTTGAAAACCCTTTACTGGTGTCCCAGATTGTCTTTCCACCAGTCTGGACTTCATGGAATGAGCTTCAAAGCTCTTTTGCATCATCCCACTAACAATCTCTATCTCTCTTCCTGGTTCAGACACATGAAGGAAGTGGCCAGACCTGCTCCGTCACCTGCCTGTGCATCTCTGTCCCACCTGAGAGCTTCCACAGGCCCAGGTGCCTTCTTCCTCTTCGCCATCTGTCTTGTGCTCATCTCCTCTGAGAAGCCTTCCATGACTAATCCTACTCTTAGCTCCAACTCATCCCTTGAAGATTTATACAAACTAGATTTAGGTATGTAGACCATTACTTATTTATGTCGAATTTTCTAAGCCTGTGTTCTCTGAGCTTTAACCTGTGTGTCTCCTCCATGAGACTGAGAACTTTCTAAGAGCAAGGGTGTCTCTCCTGTACGTTGGGAGCACCATGAGGGAAAATCCATGACTATGAGTTTCCCCTTCCTTGATAGCTCCCTGTGGTATTTGGCACAGGGATCTACCCACCCAGGGCACCCTTGCCAGAGAGAGGATTTGTGTCTGGCCGACAGGAGCCTGAATCTTGAAAAGCAGGAAGAACGAGGGGGTCCTTTTTAGTATCCTGGGTGGCCACCGATGAGGTAAAGTTAATGTGTTAACGCAGCCTCTAAAGAGAGGCTAAATGTAAGTGTGTGTGCGCGTGTGTGAACCAAACCTGTAGTCCCAACGGGGCGAAAAATGGGAGGGAGAAGCAACCCTCCGCCTTGCCAGCTCTCTCCAGAGTGACCTCCTGCACGGTCTCCACCACCTCCATCACCACATACAAGTTCTCCCCTCGGTTTTGCATCTCCTTCAGGAACGGGTGCTCAGCTGACAGCTTCCTGTGGCAGAGGAAGCATTAAGGAATCAGCCAGAACCTCTCCAGGCATGGGCCATGAGCTTCTCTTTTCTTCGGTCATTCCCAGGAGCTAGGCATGGTGGCGTCAGGGAAAGGGTGAGGACTCTGGAGTAAGACCGAGGCTGAAGCCCAGATCTCCAGCTTACTAGCAGAGCAGTTACTTTTGAGTCTTGGGCGCCTCATCTATAAAATGAGGATAATTACCCTTCCCTGCAGAGTTGCCGAGAGGGAAACTGGGAAATCAGCTGGCACAGCTTCTGGCCCGGAACAGGCCCCTCTGGTTGCTCTTTCCCCCTTTTCCCTCTGCCTTGGGGTGCCTTCCCATCTCTCCCCCCAACCCCGTTCTTAGCCCTGTTCATCTCTCCGGGGGTCCTTTGTCCCCATCTCTCATCCTGTCTCTGCTATTAACCCTAGTTCCTGTGACCCCATTTGCTTGCCCACATAAACGTGTGCTTTGATCTTTCTACTCCCTCAAATTACCATTCCATTTCTTTCCTTCACTTCTTTGGCAAGTATCTGGAAAGTTACGCCCATACACAGTCTTTACTTCCTGTCCACTCCTAAATTCTTTTATAATTTGGCTTCTGGTTCTCCTCCTCCACTGAAATCCCAACGACCTCCTGCCCACCAAATTCAAAGACCTTCCCTAACTCTGCACAACACTGACCCCTGCTGGCCAAAACCTCCCTGTGACTCTGTCTCCGGGGCTTCCAGTCCCACTGTGCCACCCTGCTTCTGCTCCCACCCTTTGGGCTTCTGATTCCTATCCGTTCTGTCTACATGTCCTGTGTTAGTTTCTTTGGTTCCCTAAAATTTTACATTCTCTAAGAATCTGTTCTCAGTTCTTTGCTGTCTGAACTCTCTCGAACATCCTCCCCTGCCCCCAACCCCCTTCCTATAGTTTTCATCTTTATATGGCTCACCACCACACAGGGATCTTCACCTGACTTCTCTCCTGAGCTCTGGGCCCTCGTTTCTAACTGCCTTAAAATTTTTCTTTTAGGGGCACCTGGGTGGCTTGTCGGTTGAGCATCTGACTCTTGGTATAGGCTCAGGTCATGATCTCATGGTTTCGTGAGTCCGAGCCCTGGGTGGGGTTCCGTGCTGACAGCGTGGAACCTGCTTGGGTTCTCCGTCTCCCTCTCTCTGCCCATCCCCCCACTCACACTGTATCTGTCTGTCTCAAAATAAATAAATAAACTTAAAAAATTTTTCTTTTAAACTTGAGATATAATTGACATATAACATCATATTGGTTTTAGATGTCCAACATATGCAATGCAGTGTCGTTAACTGTGGCCCCTCAGCTAATGTCTCACTGGACCCGCAAACTCAAAACGTCCAAAAGGGACTTACAATCTTTCTCTCCAAATACACTTCTAAAATCAGGCTTCTTGTTTCTGTTAATGTCATCACTTGGGTCAAATCTTAGAGTTATCTTTTTAAAATTCTCACGTATTTAATTAATTAATTAATTTTGATAAAAGTTGTATACGCTTAAGGTATATGACATGGTTTTTTTAAGTTTATTTTTTTCGTAATCTGTACACCTAATGTAGGGCTTGAACCCACAACCCCAAGATCAAGAGCTGCACGCTCTTCCGACTGAGCCAGCCAGGTGCCCCACAACGTGTTTCGATGGACATATACATAGAGAAATGATTACTACAGTTGAGCTAATTAACATATCCATCTCCTTACATAGTTACCGTTTTGTGTGTGTGTGTGTGTGTGTGTGTGTGTGTGTGTGTGTGTGGTGAGAGCACCTGAAATCTACCCTCTTAGCAAATTTCCAGTGTACAGTATAGAGTTATGAACTGTCGTCATCCTGCTGTACATCGGATCTCCATCTTTGACGAAACCTTCTCCCTCACCCTGCAGTCGGCTGTCAAGTCCAGTCTATTCTGTCACCCCAGAGGTCCCCCAGCCCCAACGGTTCCCCCCTCTTTATTCTGACTGCTCTTCCCTCATTTTATATCTCAGATCCTCATTTTGTATCTCAGATGGACAATGGAACGGTGTCTTGCCTAGTCTGCCTCCTTCCAACTCCTGTCCCTCCTCCTCTAGCTTCCTTTCATGTGGCCAGATTAATCATGACACATCAAGGTGTCATCAGGGTCCCCCTGAAGCCTACAGAATAGTTCCACCTCCTTGACCAGACACCTGGGCCCTCCATGGTCTAGGCCTCCCTACCACCTCCCACTTGCTCTACTCTTACCTTTTCTGCTCCTGCCAAACCAGCTCTTCATTCTCCCTAGAGGTTCTGAGGTTTCTCACCCATGTGCCTTTGTAATGTCCTTCTCCCAGACTTGCATGTTCAGTTTCTACTCATCCTTCAAAGCCTAGATCATGGGCTGCCTCCTCTGAAGTCCTTCTTCATTTCCCCAGCCAGAAGTCCCTCTGGCCTGCCACAAAACTCAGGCAAAGTCCTCCTATGGCACTTACTACTTCTCACCTTGGATTGATTATAGTCACTGTTGTACATCTCTCCTGCCCCCAACTCCTAGATTGCAAGGTTCTTGGACAAAGATGTCCTAGTGCATCCTGGCACCTAGTAGGGTATTTTGCACTCAGTGAGACTATATAAATATTTACTGGGTGACTTTCTAAGCACCCCAGCCCTTCCTTCCTGCCTCCCCAGTCCTCATCTCCTTCTTTCAACCACTACTTAACTAACTTAAAAGTTAGTTCCCTGTCAAGCCAAACATCTGAGATGTCCAGACTACCACATCGACATGGCATCTGCCACACCCCTTGTGTTGCTGGGGCAGCATTCCCGAGGGCACCTGGTGTGTGGATGGGACTGAGCAGATGGCTTGATTTATGGGAGCAGAACTCTGTGCTCAAGCTTCACTAGGGAGCAGTTAAGACCCTTTCCTTTTTTAGTGTATTTTATAGAGTCATAGTTTAGGAAGGAGCCCTAGAGATTTTCGTTGAACCCCATCATTTTTCAGGAAAGAAAACTGAGGTTCTGAGAGGACAAGTGATTTTTCCAAGGTCACACGGCAAGTTAACGTGACCATACGCATCCTCGTGTGTATATATGATAGTAGGGGGGTGGTACTGGAGGTAGCGGAAGGATGGGGGGAATGGTTAGGGAATGGCCCGGAGGCACTCATGGGCCAGAAGGGTCATATTCAAGAGCTCTCCTGTGGTGACCACATAGGTGAAGGTCAGTGTGAAGGCCCTGCCCTTTAGCTCAGGGCCCAAAGCACCCTTTCCAGGCACCACCCACCCCATCCTGATAGCCCTCCAGCCCTTTCATTCTCACCTCTCCTGGTGCAAGGTCTCCAGAGCCTTGGGAGCCACACTGAGTGTCTGGACCTCCAGGGTACTGCTTCTGGACAGCCCTGCAGTCCCCGTCACCTTGACTGTCTTTGGCATGTCCACTTCTCCCTCCACTCGGGCATCCAGCATATTCTTAAAGCTAAAGTTCCCAGAGTCTGTTGGATCTGCAGGAGAGAGAAGATGAAAGGGGCCAGGCTGGCAGGCGTTCCTCTTCCCTCGCCTTCTGGAAGAACTTTGGGCTACAGGACACCAAACCACATCTGGGCAGAGGGAGCTTTGGGCTCCTCCTCACAAGCCAGTGCCTGGCCCCACCCCTCCATCCTCAACCCTGTGTCCAGACTAACCTGAAGGTGAGCTGCCAGGCTCAAGCACATCCAGGAGGGTGTAGTCAGTGCGGACATATCGGGCACCCCAGAAGAGAGTGCTCTTTCTCTTCCTCAGCACCAGGCAGAAGGGATGGAAGCGCTTGAAGTCTATGAGGCTGTCAAGGGGTGTCAGGTCCCCTCTAGGGTTTAGCTGTCTGGCCAGGGCCCGGGTGACATTTTCAAATATGGTCATTTTCTCTGTGGGGGGTGGGGGGAGACAGGAGAGTGACAAGTGGGGAGACCAGGACATGGGAAGGCCCCTGCAGAGAGAGATGGGGCTCAGGGTGTATGTGGGGGGTGGGGCTTCAAGATGCCTGGATTCTAGGAATGTCAGAGCTGAAAGGAACTAAAGGAGTCTTCTCTTTACGACGAGGAGACACAGCCCCGAGAGCTGAGACAACTTGCCCGAAGTCACAGGGCTGCTTAGAGAAGCCAGGCCTTCCCTCTGTTTGCCAAGGGCTCTTTGCTCACCCTGTATTCATTTTCTTCATGGACTCGGAGCCTGGCTAGAGCATTTCATTAGTGCTGCAAGTAAAGTTCCTCTCATACAGCTGTGCCCACCTTGTCTTCCCCAGAGAACTGTGACAGTGGGGACCTGGGATGCCAGGGAAGGAGGCAGCCACCACTGGTGCCGAGGGCCTGAGGAGGCAGATGCTGTTTACCTGCCCTGGTTGTCCTTTCTTTGGGTGGGGGGTCACTTCCCTGTACCCTGTACTTCCCTTGTGCCCACCTCCTGGTTCTTGGGCGCGAGTAGACCCACTTCCCTCC